CCCCCCCACCCCTCCTCTTAAGAAAATTACATAAATAATTTATTATAATTTTAACGCTTGTAATATGGAAGTGTGTGTATGATCGAATAGTTTACATAGTTAAAAAAGGTATCAATATTTTTTTCAAAAAAAGGGTTTTTCAGGGGGGGCACAATGTTGCTGCAAGGGGGTGCACAACATGTGCCCCCCCTACACAAATGCTCTCGTACGCCCCTGTCGGCCTCTGATCGTAAAATAAAAAAATTATTTAATTGAACGTTAGTTTATTGAGCTTATAGTTCAATCAGAGGAATGCTTTAAAAATCCCCCCTAGCCTGATAAAGGAGCTGGGGCATGCCTAATTCCCAACCTGTCGTCGTTGCCTTAGTCTGTTCCACTTTAGTATTTATTCCCCCCCTCCCTGTAGAGGGCCGGGCAAGAAGTCCACCCTGTTTTGCAATTTATCGATTTTTGAATCCTGACCCTGAGCAAATTTAATTGCGCTCCTGATCGTTAAATAAAAAAAATGATAATTGAACGTTTAAAGTTTATTGAGCTATAGTTCTTCAATCAGGAATGGTTCAAAAACAAGCTGAAAAGAAGGGATCAATAACAATGGTCTCCTGGAAAATTCAGAATAGCTTGATCAAAATTATAGGAATAACAATTAATATAACAAATTAAAGTTTAAGCTATTTTTTTTCTTTTGTGGGGGGGAGGGAAGGGGGCTGAAAACATGAACTACTTAATAATAAAATAAATTATTGCTTGAATAAAGGTGAAGACTTTGTCCTAAAATCTATTCTGAACGAGGTTAAATCTGCAAAATTCTACTCCTTCATTACATTCATAGCAGATGAAGCAACAGATTATACATTACAACCAATATCTTTCATTCTGCAGCATTCGTTATTGTAAACGTAAATGTAGGTAATTATAGCAACTGTAAATTATGAGGCATTTCTATGGGACAGCATAGAAAACACCCTCGCCCCCCCCACCCCTTCTTTTTAAGGCATTTTCCTGTTACTAAAAAAAATTGTTTGATACATTTCTTTTTTTATTTCATATCAGATGGGGTCCTACTGAATATCCGATTGGTAAGGTTAATTTTTTATTGTTTGAGTATAATGCACATTTTTCTTGCCGCCCCCTAAAAATGTTAAGGGGGGGGGGCAAAAACAAATTTTCCATCTTGCCCCCCATAACAAAATGTCTAGTTGCGCGCCTGATAATCATATGTTAAAATTTTTTGTCTTGTCTGTCTTGTCTGTCTTGTCTGTCAATTGTCTGTCTTGTCTGTCTTGTCTGTCTTGTCTGTCTTGTCTGTTGTCTGTCTTGTCTGTCTTGTCTGTCTTGTCTGTCTTGTCTGTCTTGTCTGTCTTGTCTGTCTTGTCTGTCTTGTCTGTCTTGTCTGTCTTGTCTGTCTTGTCTGTCTTGTCTGTCTTGTCTGTCTTGTCTGTCTTGTCTGTCTTGTCTGTCTTGTCTGTCTTGTCTGTCTTGTCTGTCTTGTCTGTCTTGTCTGTCTTGTCTGTCTTGTCTGTCTTGTCTGTCTTGTCTGTCTTGTCTGTCTTGTCTGTCTTGTCTGTCTTGTCTGTCTTGTCTGTCTTGTCTGTCTTGTCTGTCTTGTCTGTCTTGTCTGTCTTGTCTGTCTTGTCTGTCTTGTCTGTCTTGTCTGTCTTGTCTGTCTTGTCTGTCTTGTCTGTCTTGTCTGTCTTGTCTGTCTTGTCTGTCTTGTCTGTCTTGTCTGTCTTGTCTGTCTTGTCTGTCTTGTCTGTCTTGTCTGTCTTGTCTGTCTTGTCTGTCTTGTCTGTCTTGTCTGTCTTGTCTGTCTTGTCTGTCTTGTCTGTCTTGTCTGTCTTGTCTGTCTTGTCTGTCTTGTCTGTCTTGTCTGTCTTGTCTGTCTTGTCTGTCTTGTCTGTCTTGTCTGTCTTGTCTGTCTTGTCTGTCTTGTCTGTCTTGTCTGTCTTGTCTGTCTTGTCTGTCTTGTCTGTCTTGTCTGTCTTGTCTGTCTTGTCTGTCTTGTCTGTCTTGTCTGTCTTGTCTGTCTTGTCTGTCTTGTCNAAATAAATAAATTATTAAAGTTAAAAAAAAGTGCTCAAAACAGAAAATTACTCTTATAGTTTGTAAAATATTTCTACCTTAGAGCTGCACTTACACTTTTTTCACTCAGATATATTACTAAATAAAAAATATATTTCTATTTCCATTGGCATTACATAATTTCTAATCACAATTTTACATATTGTTTAAGATTAAGATATTAACTGCAAAAGGTTCAAGGTGTTTTTTCATTTGACTAATAAAGTTGTTACCCCAAAGGATGCAATTTCAAGATTGTAGAGTTTAAATCTGTTCCTGACTCCTATTCTTTGTGGTTAACCCTGTAGGTTTAAATATAGCGATGTGCAATTGCTAGATTCGTTTTACAGAAACTTTGATAATTTTGGACTTTTAATAGATTTACGGGTTCAACGGTTTGAAATTGTCTTCTGTAGAAGTTTACTATTATCAAACATGCAAATTTGTTATCCT